ACTGGTTCGGGCCGAATGTCCCTACGTCTAGTTTCGAGCTGCTCGTGTTACTAGCACTGAGTTTGTAGCAGGGGGTTACAAACTGGTGAGAGAGGGAGGAGCTCCCAAGTCTATGTGGTTCGACTGCTCGATGCTTCTACACTCACAAGGGCGGCCCTGTATGGCCGCAAAGACGAGTTCGCTCGTAGTCTGGGTTACCTAGATCCTGGATCGGGCGCGCGCACGCACAAGGGCAGCCCTGTACACCGACGTCCATCGTGCGTTCGCCATCGCCCGCGCCCACTACATTAACATCGACCTGCCAGTGATCAGTGAGGGCTTCGCGCCTGGCTACACTGACGTCGAGCTGAACAAAATTGAGAAGGAAGCGGCTCTCCCAGTGTAGGACCTAGCAGAGAAGGTCGGAGAAGAAATCCTGCCCAAGAATGTTTAGTTAGATAGCTGAGTCCGACGTCGGTCTTTTTGTAAAGACTTTTATTATGGCCGGAAACGTTGTTTGGCCTTTCTATATATATATATATATAAAGTTCATTGCGATCCGACCCTTGTTTTATGTTAAGACATTAGAAACTTAAGTTGCCAGCGACTAAGTAATGATCACGCTGATGAGCAAGCGATGCCATAGCCGTCGGGGCGTAGGCTTTTTGCATTCGAACTAGTTTTACTCATCATTAGTTTTTAGCAACTCTTATTTCTAGGTCTTGTCATAAAAAGGAAAGGATGAATGGGAAAATGTATAAAGTTTATTGCGATTTGACCCTTGTTTTATGTTAAGGCATTAGAAACTTAAGTCGTGAGTGACTAAGTAATGATCACGCTAGTGAGCAAGCGATGCCATAGCCGTTGAGGCGTAGGCTTTTTGCATTCCAACCAGTTTTACTCATCGTTAGTTTTCGACAACTCTTATTTCTAAGTCTTGTCATAAAAAGGAAGGGTCGGATGGAAAAATGCTTCTGAGTATATGTACTCCTATCAGCCCCCGAGTAAAACCTGACCCAAGGTAGTTGCCAGGGTCGAGTGTTACTGAAGACTGATCAGATCAGAAGCGAATCCGATAGGAGGTAACATTTTTTGGATTTTGCAGAAACATTACTTAGTTTGATAAATATATTGGAAGCTTTGGAACGGGAAGACTAAGGGTAAAAGCAACATAGCTGCTCAATGTTCCAGGCATTGGCGATGGCTTTGTCGTCATTAGTCTTGAGCTCATAGGTGTCTGGCAGGAGCATCTTCATGACGACGTACGGTCCACCCTATGGTGGGGAGAGCTTGTGGCGGTCCTTGCTGCTCTAGACGAAGCAAAGCACCAGGTCCCCGACGTTGAAGGCCCGACCCCGCACTCGACTGCCGTGGTACCGGCCCAACGCTCGCTGGTACTTGGCCAAGCAAAGGAGGGCGACGTCATGCATTTCATCTAGCTAGGCTCTGTCCTATGCTCCCCCTTGTTAGAGGTTCCGAATAAGAACCGCTTCAAAAGAATGCAGTCTTTGTACAGGTGCTTGACGGGGAAAGCATGGTTTCGGCATGGCCCTTCAAGCAGGTTCTCGAAGTGGTCCAGGGTGCCCTCTGTGGGCTTCTGGCCCCCTGTGCTGTCGGCATTGGCCACTAGCAAGCTCCTACGCCGTCGCTTGTTCTTCCTTCTGTTGGGAGGCTTGGAGGCGCCTTCATCGGCGTCCTCATCCCGTTTTGCCTTGCCCTTGAGGGTGTGTCGGCCAATGGCCTAAGGTCCCATCAAGTTGGGGCTCGAGCTTTGGTCCTCACTGTTGTCATAGCGTCTGCCACATCGTGGATGGTAGCCACGGCTATCCCCTCCTTCACATCACCATAGGCACACCTGCGGGCGTCGAGGGTGTCGCGAGCATCGCGGTGGAGGCCGAGACGCTCATGCACCAGAACCGCGGTACGCGGCCCGCTGCCCTATTAGGCCTGATGGACCAGTACATCTCATCGGGTTGTTCTGAGGGCGCTTCGCGTCTACGAGCATCGAGGGTGTCACGCGCGTCGCGGTGGAGCTCGAGACGCTCGTGCACCGAAATCACGGTGCGTGGCCTTCCATAGTCGAAGCTAAGGAGCTGGTTGCTTCTGGGGGCATGGACCTCCGATGTAGGTAGGTGCAGCTCCTTGGGCGCCTAGGTGATTGCGTCGAGGCCGGTGAAGAGGAGGGGTTGTGTGGCAGCGGAAGGCCACACCAACTCTCCCTCCATCGTGATGACGAAGTCTAGGTTACCGAAATGCACGTGCGTGCCCGGGACCTAGCTGATGTTGCGATTAGCCATCCAAGGCCTAGTGTTGATGTTGAGACGCGCAAAAGGCCCCTACCTGGTATGCCAACTGTCGGTGTTTCGAGTAACCAACTAGTAAATTGGTATTATTAGGCGTCTGACCCAGATCATGTGCTAAGAGGACACAAGGATTATACTGGTTCGGGCCGAATGTCCCTACGTCCAGTTTTGAGGTGCTCGTGTTACTAGCATTGAGTTTGTAGTAGGGGGTTACAAACTGGCGAGAGAGGGAGGAGCTCCCAAGTCTCTGTGGTTCGACTGCTCGATGCTTCTACTGCTAGATCTATCAGTCAATTGATCTCTTGCGATGTGATGTGCGATGCCCCTTAGTGGGACGCCTTGCTTTCCCTTTTATAGACCAAGGGAAAGCAGGGGTTACAATAGAAGGGAAGAGGGTAAAAAGAAAGAGAAATAAAGCTCCCGTAGGTGTGCAGTCCTCTTCTTCGCGTGGGTCCTGCTGACCCTATAGATCATGGTGGCAGCGGCATCGTACCGGGTCCTGTTGGCCGCTGCAGCATACGTGCAGGCGTCATGCGTCGTTCTTGTCTTTCATCCCATCTGAGCGGATGGAATGGTCAAAGGTTCCCCTAATAGAGGCCATACGAGGGACTGGCAGTACAGTGCCAGTCAACTGACACCGGTTGACTGACGTTGGATACTGGCCAGGCAAGGAGTTGGTAGCATAGTGCAGGCCTATTGACACGGGCGATATGAGTCTCCTAGCATGGCCTAATGCGATCGCCAGTCACACCAGGATGCGTCCGAGACGTGCTTCCGGGCGTGCGCCTCCATGCCATAGTGGTTGAAGCGGTTCGAGTCCCACCCTAGGGCCACTGCTTTTGTCCGGTAGCAAATCCAACCCCTAGGGAATGGGCAAGGTGGAAATCTTGCCCTAGAGGCTAGGCGAGACGGAATCCGACCATCGAGGGTCGAACAAAGCGGAGCCCTCCCCGTGGGACTAGACGAGTCGGAGCCCATGCCTAGGGGTCGGACGAGGCAGAAACCTCGTCCTCGGAGTTGGAGCCCATGCCTTGGGGTTGGACGAGATGGAAACCTCATCCTCAGAGTTGGACAAGGAATGGCCCGGCCCCTGGAGGTCGGACGAGGCGGAAACCTCATCCTCAGAGTTAGATGAGACATGGCCCGACCCCTGGGGATCAGATGAGGCCTTAGTTGCGTCCTTAACCATCGGATGAGGCGATGTGACGCTCATTAATCCTTTGGCTCGAATACCTGGGTATAGGTATCCGACACTCCCCCACATAGCATGTGTGGCTTGGTCATTTCGAATGCATCATCATCAGTAAATCTCATCCGACCATGGGGCGATGTAGCAGATGAAAAACCTCAATTAAACAAAGTAGCTCGAATTCTTGCTCACAATAAATAATAGTTCTAGCAAAACTAGATGAAAGTGCAAACACAATCATATAATATAATCAAGCAAAAAAAAGGTTGACGAAAGAATAATCCTGAGCGACTTACACTCCTCGTCGAGGTCGAAACTTGCGACATTGACGAAGCAGAGCCGGTTGTAGTAGATGCCCTTCTGCTTGGGATTGAAATCGAGGATTTGAGCCTCCGCTTCCCGCCGCTGACCTTCGAGGTCCCCCGCCTCCTGGAGACGACGGGCCTTCTCTAGCGCTTCCTCCCTGAGCCTCTCTGCCTCTGCCGCTCGTTCGGCCTCGATCATGCTGGAGAAATTCGGAGTCCTCATCTCAGAGGAGAGCCAGACATACTCCCGCCCCAAGCGTAGCAGCTCCTCGTTGGCATCGCCTCGCTTCAATGCCTCTTCCCACGCTCGCTCCCTAAGCCGCGCCGACTCCGCCGCCCGGTCGGCCTCGCTCAGGCCTGATAGATCAGGATACATCCATAAGAAACAACTGGAACATACCTTTGAAATGACTAAAACACCAGAAATATATATTTGCAACATAGGGGAGGGGAAGCCTGGGCCAGTCGATTCCAGCCGTCCGGGTCGGAGCCGGCGGCGAGCGGCGGCGCATGAGCACCAGCGCCACTAGTATCGGGTTTGGCTCGGCGTAGACGATAGGGGATGGGGGGCGAGGATCACCATGGCCACCGAGGGTGTAGAGGGTGCCACACAGGGTGGAGGATAGTCGCCCACTCCCCTGCAACACCGCCGCCTCACCTCCATGGATCTTGCCGGAGGCGAGCGGATCTTGTTCCTGCTCCATATATCTCGCCGAGGTGGGGGAGAGGGTTGTCGGATCTGCGACCGTTGGAGGCTCCCAGTGAGGGAGGACGCCGGGCATTGGTTCGCTATGGTAGGGATGAGGAGCACGGTAGGGGTAAGGATGGGAGCGGAGCGAGGCGTGCGGGAGTTGATTTTGTTTTTTTAGGTGAGCGGCCCATGCAACAGTAAGTGGAGCAGAGGTCTTCCGGACGTCTTAATAATAGCATTACGGTAATTTTATTTATTCTCTGATTTCTGATTTAAACATTCCTCTTAAAAATCAACGTTATTTTCATTATATTATAATTATAAAACATGATAGTTCGTTGCATTTTTAATCGTCATCATCCATTTTCTTACCTGCAAGTCCTCATGGACATCAATGATGCTATGCTCTCCATCTGCACCGTCTGCTGCAGATCCAACGGCTAGGCTACCGCATGACTCGGCTCTCCCTTCCCCCACCGATAGCGAGCGGCCCGCGCACCGTGGGGACATGAATGCCTCCTCGAGCGGGAGCCATGGCGGCGGCAGTGAGGGTGGCGCTGCTGCCCTCCTCATCCTCCTCCCCATTGCCGCTGCTCTGCCTCTCGCGCCGCTTCCTCTCGCTCACGGCGACTCCCTACCCTCTCTACTACGACCTCATCGTGCACCGCCCCGCGGTCCCCAATCCCCCCAAATCCTCCGCGTCCGACGCCGCCGGGGCCGACCGATAGCCACAGCCAGCCCCCGACGAGCAGCCGCTCGACCGCGCCAAGCGCCGGTACCTCCGCAAGCGCCGCAACCGCCTCCTCCCCCACCCTGACGCTACCACCACCACCAAGCCCTCCTCCTCCTCGTCGGAGTATGTCGAGCTCTGGCCGGAGGTGGTGGACTTCCCGCGCCTGCACGGGCATGAGGAGGCGCTCTACTTCCATGACACCTTCACCATGCCGTGGGAGAAGAACAAGCACTACCGCATGCTCTACCCCCTGGAGAAGAAGTACTTCCCCCATCAGTCCCTCGACAACGCATTCGTCTTCACCGACGCCGCCCCGGCCTCTGACGCCGACAGGAGCCTCGTCTTCTTCGACGACGAGAAGAAGGAAGATGAGGGAGGGGAGCGGGTGGTCAGTAAGAAGGGCGGCGACATCGACGACAAAGGGGATGTGCTGGAAAGGAAGGTGGAAGACTTCTTCAGGTCTCTGAATAAGGGCCCCGGCCAAGCCAACACCAAGGCCAAGAGATCGGGAGAGGAGGCACGGCAGGTGAAGCGCGAGGTGCTAAGGGAGGAGGAGCGTCCGCAGCCATACCTTGTCACTAGGACCACGGAGCTGCCACCCAGGTGGGATGGCCCCGCCGGGACCGTCGTTCTCATTGACAAGCCCAAAGGTGATGCCTTTCCCCTCCCCTTTGGTGCATTGCAGGTTCTGGGATTCTCACCCAAAGGTGATGCCTTTCCCCTCCACTTTGGTGTATTGCAGGTTCTGGGATTATCACCAAAATGTATCATCTAAGACAACAGTAGTATTTTAGCTACTTTTATCTGATGCACATGCACCACCAAAAAATTCCTTCTCTGAAATGTGAGCGATTAGTGCAACAATTACATGGCAATTAGTCGGTGTGGCAACTGCAGCTTTGCCTCAAGACAGGGTTATGTATTGTGTTTCCTATCAGGGCAGATAATAATAAGTTAATGCGCAGATAGGATTAGGTTCGAGCGGTGTTTTATTAATCTGCTATGTTGCCTTCCATCCTGAACAATTCATCTGAACTCGTCTTTCCTCTAATCATAGGATGGACTTCATTTACTGTTTGTGGCAAGTTGCGGCACTTGGTTAAAGTACAAAAGGTGATATCAGGGTTTTTTCACTGTGTCTGAATGTAGCATTTGCCCTTAGCATTAAGTATATGTTTTGCAATATTTGTGTGGTCTTAGGTTGGACATGCTGGAACTATGGACCCCATGGCAACTGGATTGTTGTTTGTTTGTGTAGGAAAAGCAACCAAAATAGTTGACGCCGGTAAACCCTTAGTTTTCACAGTGGATGTGGCCGCCGCGGGCCATTCCACCAGCGAGTTCACCGACGATGCAAGGAGCCACCGCTTTCCCTCTCAACAATCGAGAGTGCGCGACTGTCCCTACCTGGCATGCCAACTGTCGGTATTTTGTAAATCGGACTAGTAAATTTATACGATTGTCGCGCTACTCTAGGAAGACGATGGTAGCATCCAAAAGACACGAGGATTTATATTGGTTCAGACCGGAGTCCTACGTCTAGTCTCAGAGATGATCGAGTGCGTGTTCCTCGCATGAATGCTCAGAAATTCTTACAATGAGGGATGCAAGAAGGGTGAGAGAGGTGGTAGAACCTATGCTAGGCGAGGGGCTGCCCGGAAGGAAGCTTCAGGAGCCCTTGTACTATGGTGAATGAATGGAATGGTAGAGGATGTGACGTGGTGCTATTGTGCTGGCCGTGGCGGCACTGTAGATACGGTTGTGATCCGTCAGCCATCCTATGCAACGTGGTATCCGTCATGACCTTCGTTACGATCTCCTGGTTTCTCGGGACGTCACACGGGAGTTGGTAGCCGCCCCGGGTCGTCGATTCCCTGGTTGCTTCGCGGGGCTGAGGGCCAGGACCCTGATCATCGGGGTCGGTGTTTTTAGCTGGTCTGGACAGCCTCTGTGTTGAGGCCCTTGTCGTAGATCCCATCCCATTGTGGGTAGGATTGTACATACTTTTTGTCGGTCCGTATCTGGATGGTGGGTTTCGTACCCGTTTCCTCTGCTATGTGGTGTTGTCTCGTCTGTGCGACATGGCACGGGGTTGGCGTCTGATCGGGCCGAGGTGACTGCTATCCCCTCGGTCCTTGCGGGGTCAGTGCGGTACGGTCGCTCTTGTCAGAGCTGGTGCATCAGGCTGGGCTTTAGTTGTTTGGGCCTTCTCTAGCTAGGGAGTTGTGGGTCGTGAGGCCTGCCAACTAATCGGTGCCTTGAGACATCTGGGTTATAACCCCGTCAAGTCTTTAATTTCAAATTTTGATAAGGCATTGCGGGCAGCAAAAAAATGATGGTTTTACGTTGGGGGTGAGATGTGATTTCCTCATGTGGGTCCCACCTGCTACACGCGCTCTCTAGGGTCCGCAACCATGCCTCTACCTATCATGGCCACGGGTTACATCGAGGCATGCTAGTCTCTTTCCTGGTGTCAGAGCTTTGACATAGGCCCATACACTTGGACCTGGAGTGGTTGGTGGTGGTATGGGTCCCCGTCGGGCGAGGCGGAGCCTGCACCCAATGGGTCGGGCGAGGCAGAGTGCAAACCCAAGGGTCGGGCGAGGTGGAGCCCATGGCCTTAAGGTCGGGCGAGGCGGAGCCCACAGCTGCCTTGAGGTCGGGCAAGGCAGAGCCTGTGGCCTCAGGGTCTGGCGAGGCGGAGCGCAAACCCAAGGGTCAGGCGAGGCAGAGCCTGTGGACTCGGGGTTGGGTGAGATGGAGCCCGCGATCTTGGGGTCGGGCGAGGCAGAGCCCGTGGCCTCAGGGTCGGGCGAGGCGGAGCCCGCACACTTGGGGGTCGGTTGGAGCTATAGTCGTGCTCTTAACTGCTCGGATGAATTAATGTTGATGACCATTAGCTCCTCCTCTTCGGGTACCCTAATATTGGTCCACGACACATGTATAAAGAGAAAAGAACCATGCACATTTAGATTGACCTTAATAAGTCAATATGTCAGTAAGGTTATAATCTTTTAAAACCATTACCAATATAGATATATTATGGTGGATGGATTAGTGTGGCTAAATCCTCAACCTTATAATACTGGAGGCAAAGACCTACCATGTTACAGTGTATATCTGTAGAATGAACATTGGATATTAATACACTCAATCATGAGCAAAGAAGCAAACCAATTGTTAATTTATATGTTTTTCAGAGCTCAATGCACAGAGTTTATATAAAACAAAGAGGACTCAAAATCATCTAGATCATTAGTGGGTAAGCAAACAAATATCAGTTCTAATCTAAAGTGAGTGAGTGAACTCGAATCAGTTCTTATGAAACAGTCAAACATGCAAGAAACTAACTTCACTAATAGGTTTGGCACTTGATAGAGGGATTTTAGATCCTTTTTCGCACAGCTTCTCCACCAGCTTCACAAGTTGTTGAAGTTGTTTTGTGTCAAACGGGTCTTTTGCAAACAGCTTCACAGGTGAAGGTTCATAAAACCTACCCTTACATGGGAATTGGGTGAGATAAGCTAAAAATAGTAGCTTTTTCTAGCCCCCTCGTACTTGTAGGCCCTAGGGTGAGCGGAGCTCAGAGTCCTAAGTCACGGACACGAGCATCACCGTGGGGCGTGCGGCTGGGGCGCATGCACCGCCTGGGCTCGCGGGCACTAGGGCTCTCGGCTGCTAGGGCACGGTTATTGGGTCCCTTGTGTCGGGAAGAAAGACTGTGGGAAGATGAGGAAAAGTAGAGAAGGAAAAGAAAAGCTAAAGGCATTATGATAATTTTATTTTATTTTTTTTGTCAGCAGTGAGAAGTTGTTTTGTGAAATGGATCACCAAAATAGCTTCAGCTTCACTAGTAGACACTACTAAAAAAACTTTTCCAAGGTGTTTGGAATTGGGCCTCGGAGACGGTTGGGAATTTGAACCGCCTCGGTTAATGCCTGGGATTAACCGAGGCTGTCATTTTTATTTACCGAGGTGGTCACAATCAACCGCCTCGCAAAATCGATTTATGAAGACGGTTAAAAAATAACCGCCTCCTAAAATCCATTAACGGATGCGGGCCTTATAACGGAGACCCCCTCGGTTAATAGTGGCTGAGGTTCAAATAAGCCCAGGCGAGCCCCATTCTACCGGGCTCCTCTATAAACAGGAGTTAGGGTTTCATTCTCATCCAATCTCTATCTCTTTCAGCTCCTCCCTCTCCCTCACTCCCTCCCTCCCTCCGACGTCGCACACCGCACCTGACTCCTAGCGCCACGCCGGCTCCTCCCTCTCCCTCCCTCCTTCCCTCCGACGGTGCCCCTCTCATCGTGCGATGCCTCCCTACCACCGTGCGATGCACCTCCTTCTCACCTGCACGGCACGCCTCCCTTTCTTTCCAGAACAGTGGGCCGGCCGGTGCTCGGCCCTCTCTCCGCACGGCGTGCCTCCCTCTCTCCGCAGGAGCGTTCGAGCGGTGCGGGCCCGCACCTCCCCGAGCAGCGGCGGCGGCGGCCCGTGGATGGGCTCGGCGGGCCCGTGGATGGGCTCAGCGGGCTTATCCATGGGTTTTCCTCTTTTGTTTTTTTTATTTGATTTACCGAGGCGGGTATCCATCCACCTCAGAAAAGATCCCATTTACCGTGACCTTTGGTCCGAGGTGGTTGCGATGCCCACCTCGGTTAATCATTTTTGTCTGCCTCGGTAAAGTTTGTTGTAGTAGTGAGAGATGTTAAAAAAATAGCTTCATTAGTTAAAACTAAGTTGTGTCGAACGGTGTCTTAATGAGCATTGACATGTCGTTGCATGCAGTTGCATATCAGACTTTAGGAAAAAAAAGCTTGGAGGAGAATTTAATCAAATGCACACTAAGTTGTGTCAAACCGTGGATCGCGCCAAGCAGCTGCTGGATGTTGCCCATCTCAACGGCTACTCATGCACACATAATGTTGTAGCACGCTACTTGGCGTGGTCCATGGTGCAGAAGGTGGTAAAGAGGGGGCGTGCGCTGCACCAGGGTGCTACAGGGTGCTGGTGCAGCTTGCCCGATTTAGACACTTGGGTTTGTATGTGTTAGGCTCTTAGGATTCATCTAGGTGTAGTACTGAGGGTGAATTACTTACTGATTGATTCAAATCGATTAACTGTGAACTTGAGACAAGGAGGCAGAGAGAGTAGAGGGACGATACCTTCGGGCTTGGCAGAGGGGGTAGAGGAGGAAGTGGCCACCATGGCAGTGGGTACGCAGTGCGGGCAGTGAAGTCCGGTGCAGTAGTGGCGATGCAGAGGCGACGGTGAAGTCGGTGGTGGCTTCCCATCGCTGGCAGCACACTCTCTTTAGATCGGGTTAGGGTTTCTCTGTAGGCGGGTTACGGCAGCTCAGGTCAACCTCGTTACTTGTGCCCCGGCCCCCACCTCCCTTTTATGGTGCTGTGCGACGGGGGCCCACCAACCATGGAACGGTTGGGCGCCCCGATCAGGGCATGGATCTAAGGACCCAATTAGCCGTTGGGCCAATTGGTGGAGATCAAACCAACATTCTCTCCCTTAATCGCACCTTATTCCTTAAACTTAACTTACTTACTTTATCTTGTTCCCATTCCATCATAGATCAGTGCATAGAGCGTGCCTCATCATCATGGTTTGTTGCCATTAGATTAAACAACGCACCTATCTATTTTGAAATAGATACTCAACTAGGCCCATAGTATCCAGAAATCATAGGCTTTCCCATAAACCCATATCGACTGTGTGTTCTCTAAACACACTAGGTGGTTAGCCTTTGGTAAGCGGATC